AGGCAGCGCCGGGCTGTGGGGATGATCTGGCCACCTCCACGGTGGATGGCATCAGCATGCAGTGTCACATCGTGGACATCGAAGCGTACGCCCCGCATGTTCTCCTCACACAGTGCCCCCTGCACAGGAAGTGGGCCAAAACCACCATCAAGCTCCTGCCTCTACGGCAGCCCCCCAAGAGGAGCCAACACATCAGTCACACAGCCCTGCCTACGCCAGCCACCAAGTCTCTGACCGCAAGGACCCAGCACGTTGCCTTTTTGCTCAGCCTTCCCAGGGTACCTATGCCAGGAGAACCATTGGCCTCACTTTGAGGACAGGTGACCCCAAGGATCCCCCCAAATCTGCAAAGTGGTGCCCAGACCTGCCAGGACCCCACCGACAAACTGATGCTAATGATTTATCATCTGGACAGCCAAGTGACCCCTTACCTCCTTTGTGGCCCACTGGAAGCCAGCCACTACACTGTCCTTGATCTCGTTGAGGTACTGTACACCCTTTGTGATGTCAGTGAGGATATTGGGCCCAGTACCATCAGGCCCAAAGCACCAAATCTTGCGGGCCTCAGCCACATCCCATTCGTACTTCTCAGCCAGGTATCGGGCCCGCTGCTTGAGCTCCTGGCGGGCCGACACTTCACCCTTGTCAATGTCCTCAGCCAGGCCATCGGGGAAGGGCCGCGCCTTCATGTACAGCCGGTTGTGCTTATTGGGGGACTTGGACAGGCAAAGCACGTTGGACTCCTCGCTGACCGTCTCACGGTAGGAGACAACTGGGTCGGATTTCTGCAAAAGGGGCATGAGGGTCAGACCTGCCTGCAGGAGGTGATGACCACCCAGGAAAGGGGTCTCCCAAAGAGACTTGTGAAACAGACTGGCAGTGGGCATAAACATCACAACCATTGGCTTGATTTGGTGGCACAAAGCCACACATGTCTAACTTAGGCATAAATACAAGTCGTGCAAGCCCTTCCTGTGAAGGGGGCTACCCACTGCTAACAGGACTAAGAATCACCCATCTTGTGAAATTCTATGCAGTATTAACGGGAAAAAAGCAACATGCTAATAGCAGACACTGGCTTGATCCAATTGTGTCACATTCACGTAACTGTTACATAGAAAACATAAAAAAGCCATTAATTGGGAACCCCCCCCAAAAAAAAACCAGACTTCTATGAGAGAAACGAGAAGTTTAAGAGGCTTAAGAAGGAGAAAACACACATAATGAAGGCCAAAAAAAGGGAAACTCGAGCTCTGTAGAAAAGCAGAGAATGAAAACCAGAGTGCTAGCAGCTGAGCCTAAGGCCGCTAAAGGCCTGCACCCTTCAGAAGTTCTATGTTTAAAGGATTTGGAAAGCAAATTCCTCATACTCCGACCTCAATGGTGTCAAGGATGCGTGTGAACTGCTGGTTTCATAGGGAAGTCACCTCATCTGGCAGGCATAGGTGGAGATGAATGAGGGAATTCTTAGGCCAGCCAGGGCACGGGGCCCTGCCAACTCTACACGTCCCCTAACCCTTGGTAATGGCGATGTGCCTCACCTTGATAGGAATGCAGGCGTGGTCCTCCTCCAGGTCCTTCAGGCAGATCTCCAGATGCAGCTCACCAGCCCCAGCAATGATGTGCTCCCCCGACTCCTCAATGATGCACTGAAAGGGGCCGCACATTAGCCCCTAGGCATCCAATTCAAAGAACCACTTGGGGAACCCAGGGGATTAGGAGGGGGAGAGTAGTAGGCTCCAAGCATCCTTTCTAGCTGGAGATTTTGGGGGAAGTTGTCAGGGCCCGTGGGAGGAAGCAAGGGGTCCTGTGAAGCTTTTTGCTGGTTTTCAGCATTACCAACCTAAAAAAAAGACCCATAGTGTATAGCCATCCTGTAGAAACCCCAAACCAGCATTCTTGAACAGTAAACTGCCATTTAAAAAGGCAGCAGCACTGTAAGGAAAAACATGCATCTAACACACCTGACTTTACAAACAGTTTCAGTGGGAAATCCCTACTTTTACGAGTAGCCACCCCGTCTTTCCAGCTCAGCCACCAACAAATCAATTCTGCAGGTGGTGGTGGTGCCTCCTGCCAGGGTGCTGCCCACCTGCACCATGGGGTCTGACTTGGCCAGCCGCTTTAAGCCCTCCACCAGCTTAGGCAGGTCAGCTGGGTTTTTGGCCTCCACGGCAACCCTGACGACAGGGCTCACGCTGAACTTCATCACTCGCATGTTGTGGGCGTGCTCGAAGGTGGTGATGGTGCCTGTTTTCACCAGGAACTGGTCCACACCCACCAAGCCCACAATGTTACCGCAAGGCACGTCCTCGATGGGCTCCACATAACGGCCCATCATCAAGATTGTTCTGAGGGAGACACAAAATGCACCACTGTGATGCCAAGTCCCCAACTGCCTGCAAGACAAGCTCCCTTCCATCTAGAGTCTGTGGCCATCCCCTCCTGCATTGAGTGGTGGTGTCAAGCCCCTAGGGTGTCAGGCCGTGGCTCTACCCTACAACCCAAGTGACTGTCCCAGTAAGAATCCTAAGAGATTAATTCCTGTGTACCAAAGACAGAATGCCACCTGACCTTCCTACACCTCCCCATGCAAGGCTCCACACCCTGACCCACAGCTAAGAAAAGTCAGTAAGGGTTGTGGGCAACCACCAGTGCCTGCCTACTCAGGGCCCTGAGGAGCTGAAAAGGATGCAAATTCTGTCTTCCCCAGATTAGGGTTGGGGGTGGGGACTGACATACAACTGATTTTTCTGGGATCAGCACCTGCTCTGTGTTGTGACAAACTCTGTTGCCACTGCTGGGAGTTCAGAAACACCTACGTCCAACTCAGATCTAGGGTTCTACCCTGAGTCTTAGTTGGGGCAGAAAAAGGAACAGTGCCCTGTTTCCTGATGTGCCTCACCCAGACAAGCCTCCCTGGATTGTAAGGGCAAAAAGAGGTGGTCGGGGAGCTCAGCACTACGTTCTGGTATCACTTCACGTAACACTCTGAACTCTCTTATTCCTCCTGCAACTTGGAACAGGGGAGGGAGGGCTGGGACCAACCCTGGGTCACAAGTGACCAGCCAAGCACTTCACCTCTGGATTGGCTTCAGGTATAGGTCCTCCTTTTTTCCGGGTGTGTAGTTGGGCCCCATGATTCTGACCTTCAGGCCAGTGGACACCAGCCCTGAGAAGACACGGCCGAAGGCGTAGAACCGGCCTTTGTCGGAGGTCGGGACCATTTTGGAAATGTACATCATAAGTGGCCCTTTGGGGTCACAGCTTTTAATGCCTGGAAAGTAAGAAAAGAACCTATCAAAGGAGAAAAGATGATTCTTTTGGGGGTTCAGGCTTCCAGAATCCTGAAACCCTAGGCTCGACAATGAGCAGCATCTCAGCCATATAGTCAATGGCTGCTCACAGCCCTCTCTGGGGCTCAGGTGAACCTTACATACCCATGGCTGCCTCGTCATCGGGGGGGCCCTCATACAAAAGCTCGCAGCGGTACTTCTGGGCTGTCACAGGGGAGGGCAGGTGGATGGTGATCATTTGCAGCAGGGCATCACCAGCAGGCAACCAGCGGCGCATCACAGCCTACAGGAGGGGAGGACATGAGGATCAGGAGAGGTCAGCCTGGGGAAACCCTCGACCCTCAGCACTGCGTGCTCATCAAGGTAGCTCAGATGTCTGATCCTCTAGAAAGGTCATGCAAACACCAGAGGTCTCCTGTCCACCTCTACTGGCAACTGCGCTACAGCTAGGAATGGTTTCAACAGCAGAGCCCAGCCCACCAGTGGCAGGGAGCCCCAACGGGGACTCTTGGGAGGACCCCCTGTACTCACCTTCAGAAGTGGTTTGCCTTCTTTATCCTTATCTTCACTGTCCAACTTGATGTCCAATTTTTCAATCAGTTTTGCTGTCTCCTCTTTGTTGAAAGTCATGATAGCATCAAACACCTGACACGGGGAGGCAGGGGGCGGGGCAGGGAATAGCAAAGTGGGTTTAGGAACATGCTGTGAAGCCTGAGGCCATGCAGAGCAGAGAGCCGCAAGGCCACAAAAATCCTCACCTTACCACAAAGGACTTGAGGCCAAATGAAAAAGAGTTGGAGATACCTACCATTAAAATCGAAAAAGCCTATTTTGACTTACTGACTATGAACAAGTTGTAACACAATCACTTAACTCAGAAGCAGACAATGCAAAGCCCAGACCTCCCTGCTTCAGCTCACCTAACCTACCCCAGCCTGGGACGCCAATCCTCCCTATTGTACGGTCCTGCTTATCTCATCAGTTGTCAAGGTAAAGCCCTAAGGACTCCACCGTCACTGTTGTGCTGTCTCACCACTCTCCCAGCAGTCTCCTTGAACCTGGCCATGCCCAGCCCCACTGTGTCTTGCCACAAATGATAGTGGGTCACGTAGTGGGTCTTTCCAGAGGACGCGCATCCAGCAGGCACATTCAGCTCACCTTGAAGATAGGATCCAGGATAAGTTGGCAGAATGTCCGTGGCAGCTTCTTGCCATCAGGGCTGGTGGCAGACTTGCTGAATTTACCATTGGCTGGATCAAAGTACCTGGTGGGGAACAGCCAACCCAACCAGGTTAGGGGGACTCAGGGGGACCTGGGTAGGCCACAGTAACAGGGCTAGGCAGACTGACTCCAGACACTTGGTGGTCCCAAGCCACATCATCAACTCCAAGTCTCTACCCACCTTGCAGGTTTGCTGCAGGAGGCCCTGCTCCCACCCTTCAGGACTCACCGGTCACCCCACAGCTTCTTCATCATGTCCTCTACTTTCTTGGCCCGCTCGGCAGGCCCCAGCTGGCCCTCGCCCTTGGCAGCAAATTTGGCCACATACATCTCTGCAAACTGCTTCAGGGTGAAGGCCCAACCATGGAGACCAGACCCAAAGCCAACAGTCCCAAGGACAGGGTCGATCTGAAAGAACAAAAGAAAGCTATCAATGGGAACAGACAAAGAGAGAGTAGCTACCAAGTCTCTGGTGGCTGTGGGCCTCAGACATCAGATTTCTTCAACTGCCTTCAGGTCAAAGTGAAGAAATTTTAGTCATCATGAATAGGATGCCCAATTCTGCCTTCATTCCCTCCACCAGCAAGGCAGGAAGAACCGGCAATAACCCAGAGGACACTTGACCCTCCTAGCCAGTTTCAGCAGGCAGAGCACTCCCTACCCCACAGCCTCCCTAAAAAGAGATAAAGTTGGCTCCAAAAACATTCCCGCTCCCTTGTTCACCTCAACATTCCTTAAAAACCTACTTTCAAGTGGCCCCAAGAAGCCCCGGGAGACCCAATGGTGGTCCCCCCAGAGCAGCCCCCACTGGAGGTCAGACTTTCCAGTGTGTGGGAAGAACACAGCCCACCCAGGAGGCAGGATAGGGGGATGCAGTGAGGTAGACAGGAGCTTGTCAAGGGACCCCAACAACAGCTCACGGGCAACATACCATGATGTTCCCCATAGGGCCACTCTCGCCCTCTCCGTAAGTGGAGATGATGACGTTGACGTTCTCCACAATGCGCTGGAAGGTCTGATAGAGCTCCTCGGGCTCTAGCTGCAGTTCGAGCAGAGCCCGGTCCATCTTGTTCATCATCAGCACAGGCTTGATGCGCTCTGCAATAGCCTGCCTCAGCACCGTCTCTGTCTGCACACACACACCTGGGGTAAACAGAGGATTTTCATCAGCTAGAGGGAGGACACCCCCAGGTTCCAGACCAGGCATAAGGAAACCTGCTACTTACCAGATACACAATCCACTACCACCAAGGCACCATCAGTGACGCGGAGGGCAGCTGTCACCTCTGAAGAAAAGTCCACGTGCCCAGGGGAGTCAATGAGATTGATAAGGAAACCAGAACCATCCTTGCTCTGCTTGATGAAGTTCAAGTCATTCTCTGAGAGCTCGTAGAAGAGGGAGATGGCCCTAAGAAGATTAGTACAGGTTGGTTGAATGAAAGGCACACCTGTCCCAGTCTCCTAGGTCTGCACTGTTCTCCTGTGATTCCTGCCCAAGGGGATTCAGGATAGATGCCTGTTACCCCCAAGCAAAGGGGTGATGTGGTAAAAAAGACAGACCCACAGTGCCCAGAGTGGACACTGTACTGTCTCCTCTCCCTGCATTGCTCATCCCTAGAGACAGACTTCAGACTACCCATACGGCAGCCATCCCACCCAGAAGCCTCTCCCCACCTTCCATGTACCAGCTACAAGGCCCACCTGTCCAGCCCCCCACCTGGATCCACCTAAGCTCAATACACCTGATTTCAAATAGCAACTATATGACCAGAAACCCAGAAAACTACCTTCCCCACCCTCCCTGGCTGAAATGAGCCTCAGGACAGATGAGCAAAGAGAAGCTCAAATTCTCAACTGAAAACGATCAGCAATTCCCATCACTTTGCTTTGGGTTCTCACTTCCATTGATAACTGGAGCCAGTAAACTCCCATTGGAAAGGCACCATGTGCAGGTTAAAAGCATATTTAGGTGCCAGTGGCACCCTCCCAGACATTGCCAAAAGCCCTTTCCACCCTGGAATAGGTTATCACTAGGTTAAGCCCTCATCACTGCATCTCCCACTACCTACAGAGCTTCCTGTCTCACTAGGTAGAACCGCATCCTCTCAGTTTGAAAACACAGACTCCTCTCCAGAATCCTCTCGTGAAAGTTGAGTCTGCTGTCCATTTCTACTCCAGACTCCAGGTAAGCACCTCCCCCTCTTAGTTCAAAGAGCACTAGGGCTTGCTCACGTTGACTTGATGGTGATGCAACGTTCCTGCTCATCCTTCCGAGTGTCAGTGAAGCGGGTCTCCCCAGCCCGGGCAGAGGCGATGATACCAGCCTTACACACCAGGGAGTCAGTCAGCGTGGACTTGCCATGGTCCACGTGGGCGATAACTGACATGTTCCGGATGTTGGCTTTCTTGTCCATGATGGCCCGGATCTGATCTACTGTGAAGTTCACCTGGGTGGGAAAGGGGCGTCTGAGGTTCAGGAGGGAACCGGTTTGGCACTGTGACTTCAACTGCCAGCACCACAGCCTGGACTGTGTTGATTCTGGGGCAACCCCAACCCCCCATCTTTCTGCTGATACCTCTTTAAAAATGCAACTTGCCCCATCTCTCAAAACCCATACTTTTAGTTGTCATTCAGAAGTGACAATCAATTTCCTGTAGATGAGAAACGTGGGCGCGCAGCTTAATAACACGGAAGGTATAAAACTCTCTCCAAACCCCTCCCTGTTGCCACTGGGATATTGCATGCTTTGCCCAACCAAACAGCCCCTTTAAAACCCAAGGTCACCCTTCCACCTGGGGAGGAAGACAGGGCCACCCAACCCATAGGATTCCTAAATATGTCACCCGGACTGGTGGGAAGCCTGCATACTGCAAGCGGCCACGTCGGGGCTCCAAGGGCCGGCTTTTCGAAATTGGGCAATACAATAAACAGGCCGAGCAACCTTTAGAAAAAGTACTTCTGGGTTGGGCTAGCCTCATTTTACCATTTTTCTATCGCTATGGCCCCCGACAGAAAATCAAATCCAAACTCCGGGCCGGTGGGTTACGTAAGGCAGCTCCCCGTCTCCTCACTGATATGGCGGCACCCACTGTTTTACCTCTGCCACATCATCATACCCCCCAACTCCGCCCCCGCCCCAGCTCCAGCCGAGTCCGGAGGCCCGCAAGGCGGTGGCGCCCCCGGAAGCGGAGAAAGGGCTCCGCAAACACCATGGCGCAGACATGGCGGCCTCCGCTTTCCCCGCCACAGGCCCGCCAGCCCGGCCACCGCCAAGTCTCGTTCCTGTCAAAGAGGCTCCAGCACTCCAGGCCTGTTCAGCGCCGGCCCCGCAGAGACCCCTCCACCGTTCCAGGACACCAGCGCAACGGTGTTGCTTACCATGGTGGCGGATGGCGATGGATTCTCCCACGGAGATCCGAGTGAAGGGATTCAAGCCCAAGATGCGGCGACAAGGGCGGAAGAGGACGCTGACGTCAACACCCGACATTTTATAGACCGACGCCGGTTGGGCGGATCATATGACCGCGCAGCAGGGGCGGGGCGAAGCCTCGCCGCGCGCAAGCGCTAGGGCTTGCTTTCCCAGTTAACTTTTTAGGCGCCGGTGGAGCTAGCTGCTCTGGGATACAGACAGAATAGCTGTTAAGCACCTGGAATCCCGCGGGTCAGGGGTCGGCCCGCTATCTGGGTGCCTGTCTCTGAGATGCAATACTTAGGTTCACAAAACGAAGAGCGCCATTTTAGCTGAGAATATTAATCAAAGCAACTATACCAGTTTGCAAAATATCAAGCACATTACAATGTAGATTACCGAAATCAACTTTCTGGTTTTGATATTATATAAGATGATACCACTGGGAGAAGCTGGGGGGAAAGTACTCGAAATCTCTCTGTACTATTTTTGAAACTACCTGTCTATAATTATTTTAAATAATATTGTTAAAGCAGCTGCTCATTACTCATTATGTCCACAAAGAGCTTGAGTGCCCACTATGTACCAGGCAGTGAAATAGGTGCATATATACCTATGCTAGAGGTGAATATATCGGTGAACAAAATATCTTTCTAGTTCCACCACTTTACATGTTCTTACACTAGTTACTCAGGTTTCTCTGTGCCTCAGTTTCATCAGCTGCACAATGGGGGTACAGTAAGCAATATTACATAACCGTTTGGGGAGAGTAAAATGAGTTAAATGCAGGTAAAGAGATTAGCGCCATGCCTGACTCAGTTCTTAATACAAGTCAGCTACTTTAACTAGCTACTATTGCTGTTGATAAGACATTTATTTCAGGGGCTGGTTTACCAAATCTCAGGCACAAGAAGCGCATTCTTTCGGGCGGCGCAACTTCTCTGTCCATTTCACTACTTCTCCAGGGGGAGGCGCAAGAAGACTGTTTTGCATTCATGTCCTCATCTGACCCTAGGAAACGGTTGTATTTTAGATCTTTGGCTGGAGGGAACGAATCGCATTCAATTCCGTTATCTTTATTCTTTGTAAAGAGCTCAGCTTAATGCCTGGTACACAGTAGGCGCTCAGTAAGTACTTCTTACATCAATAAATACTATTCTCGTTAGCTCAAGTAAACCTCTTTGGGTGAATCTTCCCTTAAATTCACTCTGTCAAAAGGAAAGGGACTGCAGTGCTTTTCCTTTGCTGGAAAAAGAGGGAGATGTGCGTCAGCAAAAAAAAAAAAAAAGGGATGCAAATTTGGGTCTGGACACCATAATAAACCTCTGCATTCCTCCCACTCCTCCACCCTCACAAATGCTTTGCACATTTTGCTTTGTAAAGTGATGTCCCAGCCCTGATTTCCTTTCATTAAAGATTGCGTCCTGATCTCTGTGGTTCAGTTGGTTGAGCATCGCCCAGCAAAGCAAAAGGTCGCCGGTTCCATTCCGGGTCAGGGCACATGCCTGCCGCATAGGAGAGGCAAACAGATGGGTGTTTCTCTCTCACATCGATGTTTCTCACCCCTTCTCCCTCTCAAAATAAATAAAATCTAAAAAAAAAAAGATTGTTATCTTCATCCTGCATTTAATACAGAGGGAACCATTTCAGGAGCTTCTCAATGAGGGTTTTTTTTTAAAGGCTCAGAGTGGCAAAAGGAGTGGCAGCAGATGTCAATTCCACAGACTCGATCTGCGGTCTTTATTTATTTGTTTCTATTCACTGATTTTGAGAGAAAGGGAGAGGTTATTTTGTTGTGACACTTATGCATTCACTGATTGAATGAATGTGCCCTGACCTGGTATCCACCTGCATCCTTGGAGAATGGGGAAGACGCTCTAACCAACTTAACTAGCCGGCCACAGCCTAAATCTGGGGTCTTTAAACACCTACACCTGTGTCCCTAAAACTTTTTTGTGTTAATTTTACAAGGTAAGCACTTGCGCCATTTGATCAGTTTTCAGCAATAGGTATCCAGTTTCCCATTCTTAATAAATTTCTTTCACCTTAAAATTATTTTGAATCTTTAAATGCACTGAGCACCTACTGTGTGTGCTGGACTCCGTATAGGCACTTCGCAGCAAATTGGGGCATTTCAGAAAAGAAAGAAAAGAGGTTTCCATTAAGAGGAGGTTGAATTTCCTCTCAAATGAATAGATTACTTACTGAGAACATTTAATTTAGTGTAAATTGCAGAAGCCGGGGGAAAATTTAGGGGGAATAGGGAAATTTAAGTCTCGCCCCACCACACACAATTACCCTTCATGGAGAGGTGTTCAGGCCCACTGCCACAGGGAAGGAGTCAGATGTTGGCTGAGGACCTCTCCCCACCGCCATCCCCAGACCCGCATTCGGCAGAAGCCTGGGGAAGGCGCGACACTTCAGCAGAGTGCAAAAGCAGCCACAACCTGGTTCAGGATCTGCAATAATAAATACAGGCGGGGTGACGGGGTGCGGTGGGGAGACTTCAGGGAACAACTAAGTGAAAAAGTAACCTCTGCAGGGAGGCTCCGCTGCGCATGTGCTTCCAGCGGCGCAGGGAGGGCTCAAAAGTGGCTACAGCAGCCCCTACTGACCAGCTGCAGTCACTGCAGCCTCCTGGATTAGATGCGGCCACCACCCTTTAAATCAATTAATTCACTTAAACCTCCCTACACCGTGGGCTTTGGGTGGGCGTACTTATGGAGGAGAAAACTGGGGCTCAGAGAAGTTATGTGATTTGCTCAAGGCTACCCAGCTAAGAAGAGCCAGAAACCAGTGACTCAAAAAGGCATGGTTTAGAGGTATTATGTACAGTAGAATTTATTCAGCCTTGAAAAGGAGAAATTCTGACATGCTACAACATGGATGAACCTTGACGTAATGCCCAAAGAAATAAGCCAGTCACAGAAGGACAAATACTGTGTGATCCCACTTATAAGCGCTCCGTAGAGGAGTCAAATTCAGGAGACAGAAAGTAGACGGTGAGTGCCAGGGGCTGGGGGAGGGGGAATGGGCAGTTAATCTTTAATGGGGACAGTTTCAGTTCAGGAAGATGAGAAAGTGGAGACAGTTGCACAAAAATTTGAACGTACTTAATACACTAAAACTGTAAACTTCAAATGGTTAAAATGAAAACTTTTATGTTAAATATATTTTACCACAATAAAAAGGGCATGGTTTCATCAGGGAGTAACTGCCTCATTATTAGTTCCTACATGCGTTTCTGACTTTGTTGACCCAAACCAGACTACCTGAGTTTAAATCCTAGTTCTTCCCTCACTGGTTGTGTGACCTTGGGCAAGTTACATAACCTTTATAGCCTCAGATTCTGCATTTAAAATATTTGAGAGAAAACCACAAGACCAAAATGGTGTCATTCATGCTAAAAGCCCATGATGCCAAATCTAGATTTACTACCTGATCTAATTGAGTTTCAGCTTTTCCCAGAAATGTAATTTTAATCAACCAGCCTGGAATTTCCTGGTCAAGCACTGTAAGGTAATCTTTCATGAGCCCTCTCCATCCCACATAGAAAGAAGAGGCAAGCTGCATGGTAAAAACATTTCCCCTTTTCTTCCTCCTCCAAAAAATGTCCCAGCCCAAAATAATCCTTTCTTTTCATTTGTCAATATCCCTTGCTCCATCCTTCTTCCTATAAAACTTTCCATTTAAACATTTTTAAAATTAATTTGCTTTAGAGAGGGGGGAGGGGAGGGGGCGAGAGAGATCCATTTCTTGTTGCACATATTTCATACATTTATTGGTTGATTCGTGTATGGGCCCGGAGATTAAACTCACAAACTTGGTATATCTGGACAATGCTCTAACCAACTGAGCTACCTGGCCAAAGCAAAACCTTCCATTTTGTACATCAACCTCAAAGCACCCTTTGAAGCACCCTTTTACTTGCTAAATGGGGTGCTTCCTGATTCATGAATCACTTAATAGAACCAATTTGGTCTTCAAATTTACTCAATTGAATTCTACTTTTTAACAAAAATACTGAATAATACTTTCCCCTGTGCATACAGGAGCGTACGAGTGGAGATCCCAATAAAAAGAACTCCTGATGCATCTTGTTGAAAGCCTTGCCCTACATCAGTGGATCTCACCTGGAGTGACTCTGCCCCTAGTAGACACTGGGTGGTGTCTGGGGACACCCGTAGTTGTCACAAAGGGAGTACTCCTGGTATAGAGTGGGTGGAAATTAGAGAGACTGCTCAACACTCTACAGTGCCTGGGCCACACCCCCCTCACAGAGAATAATCCTGCCCTGAATGTCCATGTGCTGAGGTTGAGAAAAAAACAGTATGTGTTTATTTTTTTTGAAATAATATGCTCACTTTGGAGGGTGTGGTTCAGTGGGTGGAGCATCAGCCTGCAAACCAAGAGGTCACTGGTTTGATTTTCAGTTGGGCACATGCCTGGGTTTTGGGCCAAGTTCCCAGCTGAGAGCATGTGAGAGGCAATCGGTCTATGTTTCTCTCACACGTCGATGTTTTCCTCTCTCTCTTTCTCCCTTTCTCCCTCCCTTCCACTGTCTCTAAAAATAAATAAAATATTTTTAAATAAAAATAAATAAAATAATACGCTCAAAATTTTGAGTGTGGATGGTAGTCATTCATCCAACACATTTAATGTGCACCTCCTATCTGCTGCCACATATTGACTGAGGTGCTAGAGACACAGGACAAGCTTCTCTATCCTGCTAGAGGCAGGACCATGCCTGGAGAGTTGGAGAAATAGGAAGGGTGCCCCAGAGATTGCAAAGAGTGGGAGTGGCAGAGTAAGCAAGGGTAGAGAGGGACTGGGGCATGTGTTGTAGAAACTGCTGGCTTTGGGAAGACTTTGGCTTTTACCCCAGGGAGGTGGGACCTGTAGGGCTGTGGTTAGAGGAGGGTGGGACATAAGGTGCTCCCAGACACCCTCTGGTGGCTGTTTCTAAGACAGTCTGTGGGGCAAGTACAGAGGGGACTGTGCTGGTCCAGGTAGGAGATGATGGGACCTGGACCCGGGTGGCCCTCATGGAGGGGTAAGAAGTGGGCTGAATCTGAATACAACAGATTTTGGACGATGGAACAGACAGGTTTGGCTGATGTGTTGGATGTGAGGGATGAGAGGAGAAATCTAAGCTGACTTCAAGATTTTGGCCCAAAGAAGTTGAAGGATGGAGCTTCCATCAGCTGGGATGGTGAAAGGAGCAGGTTTGGCAGGGAAGATGGAAAGAAAGCTCAGCATTAGCATGATGAGTGTGCGACAGGGTGAAGAGCCCACATGCAGATACAAGGGCAGCTGGACACGGAGTCCAGAGCTGACAGGGAGACCAGGTGCTGCAGGGGTAGATTTCTCAGTCATGTTAGGATTGCAGGAGGTGGAATACATGTTGCAGGAGTCCATTTACAAGAAATGTGCAGAACTGCCAAATCTTCAGAGACAGACTGGATTTGTGGTTGCCGGGAGCTGGGGAGGGGGTTAGAGAATTACTGCTAAAGGGGATGGTGTTTTCTTTTGGGGTGATTGAAATGTTTTAAAATTAAATGTGGTGCCCTGACCAGTGTGACTCAGTTGCTTGGACATTGTCCCACAAAGTGAAAGGCTGCAGGTCTGATTCCCAGTCAGGGATTATGCCTGGGTTGTAGGTTCTATCCCAGCAGGGCATGCCCAAGAAGCAACCAATCGATTTCCTCTCTTACATGTTTCTCACCCTCTCTTTCTTCCTCCCTTCCTCTCTAAAAATAAATACATAAAATAAAATAAATAAAATAAAAACATAAAATATTTTTAAAAATTCAAATGTGGTCCTATCAAAATTCTTTATGTGAATATCAAATTAAAATCTCTTGGCCCCGGCTGGTATGACTCAGTGGATTGAGCTCGGGCTGCAGAACGTGGGGTGGGAGGGTCTCACCAGTTTGATTCCCAGTCAGGGCACATGCCTGGGTTGAGGGCCTGGTTAAGGGGTGCATGAAGGGCAACCACACATTGATATTTCTCTCCTCTTCCCCTCTCTCTAAAAATGAATAAATAAGATCTTTAAAAAAAAAACACACAGAAAACAAACCTCTTGCCCTTGCCAGTGTGGCTCAGTTGTTTGGAGTGTCGTCCCATAACTGAAAGGTTGCAAGTTCCATTCCCAGTCAGGGCACATATCTAGGTTGCAGGTTCGATCCCTGGTTGGGGTGAGTGCTGGAGGCAACCAATTGGTGCTTCTCACATTGATGTTTTTCTCTCTCCTTTCCTCTTTCTCTAAAAGCAATGAAGGTGAGGGGAGGGAGGTGTAAGGGGACTAAATGTAATGAAAAAATACAATAAAGATTAAATTTTTAAAAAAGTAATAAAGATATTTTGGATATTTAAATTGGTGGACAGTTAAGTAAAATAGGTTGCCCTCCCTAACGTGGGTGGGCCTCATCTAATCAGTTGAAGGCCTCAATAGAACAAAAAGACTGACTTCTTCCAACAAGATGAAACTGTGCTAGCAGATGGCTTTCAGACTTGAACTGCAACTTCAGCTGTTTCCTGGGTTTGCATATGCAGGTGCATGTCTTTTTATGCACTCGTTCTAGTAAACTTGGCAAGTCACTTAACTACCCAAGACCTCAGTTTTCAAGTATGTACATTGGAACCAAGAATAATACCTATTTCTTGGGGTTCGCTGTCATGAGAGTGAAATGGTAACATGTTAAGTGCTTAAAACAGGGCATGACAGTATTAGCTAGTATTATTATCATCACTCTTACTGTTACTTAGTTGGGAAGTGGAATTGGGGGATAAAAGGCTGACATCCTTTTTCTAAAAGGCGATCAACCCAGTCATTTTCTACACCGGCTCCTTTACATATTTTCTTCATATCTTTGTCATTTAAAAAAAGAAAAGCTAATCACCTGGAACAGGTAGAAAATTTGAGCTCCGCTGCCTGTGGGCAGTGGGGAGCCACAGAGAGCTCTTGAGCAGGACTAGGTTCCCGTTACTGAAGATTCCAAAAGGTTACTGTGGCTGAGGAGGCAGATAGCAGCGGGGTGGAGGATGTCGCACGCAAGGTTGAGGGATGCAGGAGCTCCGGAGGTCCCACATTTCTCCGCCTGGGGCCAGCCAGTGGGTGCAAAGCTCGATCTCTCTCTGCCGCGTCAGGACCCGGATGTGCAGTGCGCGGGGCTCGAGGCCCGCCAAAGCAGCACCGCGCCTCACTGCAAGGCGCCGCACTGCACTCACTGGCGGCCGCAGTGCTAGGTTAACCGGCTCCGCCCCATACGCTGCCCGCCGGGCATCCTGGAACACTCTTGGCGACTGGTTCACCTAAAGGGGCCACGGCTCCGGGCTGCATTGTAGTGGCCGCCCGGCTCCTTCACTCCCTCCCTTCCTCCCTTCCTCCCTCCCTCCCTCTACAAGACCCAGCACTCGTCCCTACTAGTGCTAGGTTCATACCTCTTTAAGAAGCCAGACTCAACCAGGGGTGGGCGTGGTGGCCTCTAGCGAAAGGGGGCACTGTCGGGCCGCCCAGATTGGCCCAAGGCCGGGGCGGCGGCTATGCGCCTGCGCAGTACGCAGCGGCGCGCGCTGTCGAGGCGGGGGAGAAGGGCGTGCGGATGCTAATTGGCTGCGGAGACCGCCCCGCCCGCGAGTGGCGGGCGGTCACGTGACGCGACGGCTGGGGGCTCCCGGCGCGGGGGACGCTGGTGGCCAAGATGGCGGCGGAGCTGGTGGAGGCCAAAGTGAGTGAGCGGCAGCGGTGCCGGTCTGGACGGGCGGGCGAGGGGGCGGGGGCCGAGCAGGGAGCCGAGGTCTGCGCGTTCCGCTTGGGATCCCAGGGCGCGGCCCGCCCGCAGCTCGGCACCCAGCCCCCTCTCTCGCCCCCGGCCCCGGGGCTCCGGGTGTGGGAGGGGGGCGGGGAGGCCGGGGGCGGGGCCCCCAAACCTCACCCCAGTCTGTGCTCTGGGGATCGGCCCCGGCTTGAGGCGGGGTTCTTTCCACTCCGCTTGAGCCGTTAGGGTCTGGGTCTCTCTAAGCACGAGCATTGGGCCGCGCCTCCCAGCTTGAGGCACAATCTCCCGGGACAGCATGATGGGTTGGGCTGCTTTTTCCCTCCTCTCCCAGAGCTGGGGTCTGTGGTCTTTGGCCTGGGGGAGTGTCTTCGCCTCCCCGACCCTCGTGGTACGGAGGGCTGGCATCTGGGTCTCAGCTTCCCCGTCCTGCAGGCCAAGCTGAGGTTGGCGATTCCCTGCTCAGAAGGGTCTCCTGACCCTTTTACCACCCCTCCCACTATCTGGGGTGATGGCCCAGGGTCCTGAGCCGGCCCCAAACACAACGTGTCCTCTTCGGATCTCTACCCCTGGAATTCAGGGCCCCTGTTAGGATCCCGAGTGTGTCCCAGAGCCCCGCCCCCTCTTGATACCTCTCTTCTCGCCCCGGGAGTGGACGCAGTGTTAACTGAGCTTGCCCTGCTCCCTGAGACGGAGTCCTTATTCCTCTTCTCGGTCCGGAGTCTTCTTCACTCCCATCTCTTCGTTTTGGGTACCCAGCTCTGCCTTATTCCTTCCTCTTTCCTCTCAGGACACCATCGCTGAGGCTTTTGGCTCTGTCCTGAGGAAACTAAATCTCACACTCGCAGTATCAGACGCCAGTTTCAAATCTTGGATTCTTCTGGTGCTTCTGTATACTCTGCTCTCTAGGGAGTCTACTTCTCTGATGAGGCGCCCTCCCCACACTGGCCCCAGAACCCCTGTTTTAGATCCCTTTATGCACCCAGCTCTGGCTTCTGAGCCCTTCTCTTCTTTTTGCTGATCTCTTGTATTGATTTTTGGAGGGTCCCGGCTGGTTCCAGGGTAGGCAGGTCTCTTTCTGCAGGATAGCTCCTGGTTCCTCTCCCCATACTCCAGTTTAGGGTCCAGGTTTCACATCCCACAGATACTGTCCTTTCTTTTAGCTTGGGATCTTTTTAAACTCTCTTGGGACTGAGCTGGGATCATCCCAACCCCAGGCATGAGATTTCTTTCAGATGCCTCCCCTAGGTCAGGCTTCAGAACCCCTGCCCCAACTAGATTAGGTTTTTTCCAATTCTTCCCTGAGAAGTCAAGGACAGTGATCCCAGGGGAGTTCTTCACAGGTCGGAGGCACTGCCCCCTACAGCTTTCTGGTCTCCCCTACCCAGGGTCCTGACCTGTAAGTGTTTTTCTCTCACTCCTCTCTCTCCTGACATCTCCCTTCTGGAATCTGAAATACAGTCCTTTAGGTTCTATGATTATAGGGCATTACCCTCCCTTCACTCCAGAGTGCCCTCATACCTACACCACGCACACCTCTGCCCCTCTGTAGGGTTTGGAGAAATTGAGACTTGCCCTGGAGATGTGGAGGTCTAAACTCTGCAAGTCCGAGGTGGCAGCCTGTAGGCCTGAACTTCTCTGGAGCCCCAAAACGTAACCTGGAGAGGCTATCACTGTGACTGTCCCACTCCCCTCTCCCCAGCCAGAGGGTAGGGTCTGAAGTCTTTTTATACATCCAGGGCCTTGAAATATGATCTGATGAACTCTACTTGACCCTCTGGTGGCTGGGGCCCCCCACCCTTAAATAGTCAATTAAATTAAGTGGATTGTTTTTCCAGGTTCTCTAAAACACTAGCCTCTGGGGGGGGGGGGGGGGGGGGGGGGCTTGAGACTGCAGCACCACTTGCTCCACCCTAGGGAGTTTTCTGTCTTTTCAGTTTTTTGCTGTCCGTGTGGCGCGCATTCCATACAATTGAAATGCACACACACCCCTACCCCTTTTAGGTGCTTTCCTAACTTTCCATATTTAGAGCTGGAGATTTTGTCTTTTGGGATGCAAAGCAGGCTGGTCCTTCGGGAAAACGTGGGGGGGGGGCAGGGAGCATATTGATAAACTTGGAAATCTGATACTCTTAACCCAAGGTCCTTGAGACAGGTGAAGAGGTGGGGTGAGCCCGTGAACTCTTGGAGATACTACATAGCGTTTTGTACCCATCTTCATTTCCTGGAGAGAGGGGTCTTAACTTTCCTCTTGCTTGCGCTTATGCTTGAGAGGGTTAAGCGAAGCTCAGCATCTCTATCTAGTCTGATGCCTCTCTGTGCAGCTAGTTGTGACTCTGGCAGCCCTTGGGGCCTGGTGCTGTTTATACACACAGATCTGAGAAATTGATCTGCCAAGTGCTTGGGGCTTCTTCCTGAGTGCTTATAACCCTCTTGCAACCCCTCTCACCCCCAAATGTCAAGGGCAGGTTCCTCAGTGGTGGAGCTGCTGAGAAATTCTAGCGGCAGCTTGAGGGGTGTGTTCCAGACTGGTGGTGCCACAGTTCCAGATGTCCAGTCTGATGAAAGGGACTAGGCCTCTGGTGGTGGTGGCTACGGGGTTGGGGGGGGCTTCCAGGGTCAGGATGGCATCAAGAGATGTGGTGTGGTCAGACTCGGAAAGGCCTAGCCCACCTGCCTGTGGCTCCACGGCAGGCCATCAGCTTCCACACGACAGCGCCTCTCCCCTTGCAGGCCTTGGGCCTCTTCCAGAAGAAACATCTTTGCAAGCCTTTTTTCTCGGCTCAAGGTAGGATGTCAGGCTCAGGGAGGTGAAGCCTCTATGTTTCAAAGCATTCCAGACATTCTGAGGGCCAGCAGGCTGCTTAGGTTCCTAGGTTGGGTTGTGTTAAGGAGTGAGGGTCCTCCCAGCCCTCCACATAGCTGGGCGTGAATAGAAGTTCCAAATGCCAGCCCTGTCATTGCCACACAGAGGCCTTGGGCCAGCGAGAACCTCAATTTTCTCACCTGCATAATGTTCACAGGTCCATGTGAAATAAGTGACCGCGAAAGTCCCTTGTGGTACTTGGCACATAGTAGATATTCCACGGCTATAGTGCAGGAGTGGGAGGAAGACCCTGCAGCAGGAAAATGCTCCCCCTGAGATTTTGCAAGCAGGACAGGACAGCCACATCTGCCATAAGCAGGAGCCTGGTGGTGTACTGCTAGAAGGATCTTAGAGATGACAGATGCGAGCCCAAAGTGCAGAAAGGCCTGACAGCAGGTCCTAGGTCACCTGGGAACCTAGTGTGGATTTGAACCCAGGGCTCTTGAGTCAGACTCCACACCTCACCCTTAAATAGCCAGAACGTGGGAAACACCAGAGCCTCCTGGCATCGAGGCTGCTGCATAAACCTCAGCAGGGTTCCCACCCACCTCCGACAGTCAGAATTCCTCAGATTGAGTATGAGCGATTTATTGGTTTCTTTGGGTGTGGTCCTGCAGCATGCTCGCTGGCTTTTCATATCCACTCTTGTCACTCATACTGTTTTTCCCTTGCCCCCCGGAAGTGTCTTTTTCCCACTACATTTCATTCATCACAGGCCAGCTTCAGTGCCCAACGTGGGTTGTCTGAAAACCTGTTGGCCCATGCCTCAGGGACACTTTGCTTATGAAGCATATTGGGGAACCTTCATTGGTGTCCCAGAGTTTCACAGTGGGAATGCCATCTCCAGGTAGTCCCAAAGAGAATATGGGGATCAGCTGAGCTCTCGTGTGAAGTTTGATTTAGTTGGGACCCTGCCAGACCTCATTCATCACTTTGCCACAGCTCAGTTAAAAGCCTCTGCAGCTGCTGGATTCCCAGAGCCTTCTTCGCAGACCCATGGCTTTTTTTTTTTTGGGGGGGGGGGGGGGTTGTTTGCTTTCATTCATTATTTAGAGAGAGAGAAACATTGATGTATTGTTGCATTTATGCATTCATTGGTTGCTTCTTATATGTGCCCTCACCAGAGATCTCACCCGCAGCTTTGGCGTATGGGGACAACACTCTAACCAACTGAGCTACCTGGCCAAGGCAGACCAATGGTTCTTAATCAGCGCTGATCCTGCCCCCAGGGAATACTGGAAGATGCTGTTTATGATCATCATAACTGGGTTTTGGGGGTGCTCCTGGCATCAAGTGGGTGGGGGCCAGGGATGCTGCTTAACACCCCACAATGTCCAGGACACCCCCACAGGAACATTCCAGCTTCCATGCCCACATTGCTCAGGCAGAGAAAGCCTGCCAGAATGGTCAGCTAAGGTGCTCAGCTGTGGGTCAGTGCAGGGGCAGTATAGGAGAGGAACAGCCCCTGGCATCAGAGTCGGGCCCGAGTTTGAATGTTGGCAGTAACATGAAGCTCTCACCAACCTGGAAGGGGTGTTTTAAGGCTCAAAGTATATAATGACATGTCCACCTTAGTCCCTCCCCAGGTGATCGGTATTAAGCTGTGACTCTCGTTGTCTAGACCAAAGAAAAAAATGTGTCTGTGTCAGACATTGGTTGTATGTTTATTCTACTTTACATGAGTTAACTCATCAGGTCCTCCCATATCCTGATGAAGTGGATCC